AACGAAATTAAATAAACATTCTCTAATATAAAAAATTGTATTGATTTTAATAAGATTTTTGGAGAATTATATTTAAATATCTTTGCCAACAAATTTCTAAAAATTAAATTTGTTTTTTATCCATCTCGACATAATTATGTTCGCAAAAAACGCGGGTAAAAATACGATGCCTCGATGAGAATCTCGACGGTGACGAATAATGCAATATCGTTCGCATAAAGGCGATCGCCGATGGCACCGGTGCGAGTATATATCCAGTAAATAGCGGTGGGGCGTGTATTAATTGGACCGTTACGGAGGTTAACATGAATAAACATGAGGTCATCGATCATGTAAATTCGCCTGTGGCGACATGGACGGAATGGCACGTCGCGAACGCGAAGCCGGTAACGGGAGGACGGCTTTTATTTTTAGTAACGGTTATATTTACAAAGAGAAGCGCATAGGGTATATCGATGAGATTTGCGTACCCGTTTCGCGTGAATCATCGAAAATCGGAGATAATCGCTGAAAAATCAACAATTTTTCTGTCTGCGCGCGAGATCGATGCAGCTCGAGAGCGGAAAATAATAAAAGTTCTCACGGATATCTTTGCACGAATTGTGATGCTTTTTCGAAACAAGGAAATATTAGAATTTGATTTATAACGTGTGAAAATTTTACGTTAAATTAAATTTCCTGTTTGTAATAGAAAAATAACGAGAGATCGACCGGCGATACTTTCGAAAGGTTACTCGTCGATTGATTATCTCCAGCCACCTGATTTATCGGTGTCTACAATTTTATTGGAGATTAACTGCTGCAGTATTATCAGTCGGCAAAGGAATTTCAGTTGGCACTCAGCAGATTGAACGCTTTGTAACGAGTACGAAATATGAATGAAAATTTATAAAAATAATAATATTTTCTCATTAAAAATAATAGCTTTTTAAAAACATTTTCTTAATTTAACAAATATATAAAAATAAAATAAAAGAATTATGAAAGAATAAACAATGAATTAATAAAGAATGCGGCTGGAATTAAAATTAATTTAAAAAATCATATCGTTTTATAACTTATGTAATATTCTCTTAATTTATGCTCAAGATGCTGCTGATCAACTGCTTTTTATTTCAAAAGTTGACTTACTTGAGCTAGATCTTATTTTCGCAGAATTATAATGCTGTGCGCCGAGAATTGTTGAAATGTTCCTGAAAATTTTTAAGTGAATAAAGTAAACAGTAAACGATCCATTGATCAATGTGAAACTGTCAAAATAGAGTGCGTGTATTCAGGTCTCTCTCTTTCTCGATGCCATACGTCATCGAGAGAGATACACTGTCCGGTTGACAGGCGCTCATATTGCAATCGCCATCGATTATCTCGACACATGTCGAGCGTCGACCGATCTACACGTGGTGTCTCAAAAATTATGAATTTTTCAGTCAATTTTGAGCAAAGATTTCTTTTAACAATTCCCTAAATTGACTCCGACATTGTCCATTCTTGCAATATTGTAGTCTTCAGCATCGCTTTTTCATGCAACAGTAAAAAGTAAAAGTAAGATTGGTATCGGATATTATCTTTCTACAACAGTCGAAATTGCTCGATCATTTCTCAATTTTTAATAAGACTTAGGACAAATGATTAGAGATTGCTATAACAATATACGAAATGCGAAAGAGATTTTTTTACCATGTATAATCATTTATAGGATGTTTAGAGATATACAAGAAATGCGTGTTTATATTCTTTTTAAATCATCTTTCATATTTCGGAGACATATGTACAAAGAATTATTACAGCAAGTGAGAGATTTTCGTCGTGTAAAACAGCGCGTATTAGTCACGCTAAAAATTCAGTCTGACTTTCTCAAAATTTGAAGAGTAGTTCTCCTTTTTTGACATAAGTCAATTAATTTGCTTTAATTTTATTTCAATATTACAGTCGCGCTTGACCATTTTTCTAGTCAACATTAACGCTGAAAAAACGTTCGCTTGTATGTATATGTAAGATTGTATTATCATACGATAATATTATGTTTAATCTTCATATTACGGCAGCGAAAAAGTGCATACAAGACTCATGTTTATAATTAAATTATAATAACACATATCAATTGAAAGGCACTAACCACTTTTCATTTACTTTACGCTCGAAAAAGGTGACGTACACATTCGCTTCAGAAAGAGTACAATATGATTTTATTTTCACGTGTAGGCTAATCGCGTCTCATGCGCGCCAACTCTCTTACGACTCTTATTGACTCTTATCTACAATGGTCCCCTTTATATCGATCCGTGTCTCATGGTGCAACGTGAATCGCCTTCTTGCTTTTACGAGCGATACTTTACGCGTCGAGTCGTAAAATGCGATCGATTCTCATCGCGCAGAAAGCGATCGAGGTTTACCATAAGGAAAGAAAGAAGTCCTCCAAAATCGCGAAGCGGTCGATAAAGATCAATATACAACCCCTATTTTGAAATATTTAGTTAAAACTTGCACAAGTTACGAATATTTCGAATGTTCTAACAGCGTCGGCGCAAATATCAAGATGCAAATATCTAAATATAAAAAGATAGGCAAAATGTTCAAAAATATCGAAACATAAAATAAAATTTTGTAATTACATACATAATATTATATATGTAATCAGCGGCCATTGTATTATTTTTTTGTACCTAATATAGCTTATCATACAACTTATTTTTTTTATTTCATGCGTACAATAATATAATTCAGACAGTTTCCGGTTTCTATCTACGAAAAATAGATCGCTTCGCGGCTGCGGAAGACTTATTAACAGTAGCCTTAATTAATACGAGTGTTTACACCTCACAGCGTTTCAGTCGTCGGAACGGTATGACAATACATTTCTCAACAACCATCCCTAAAAGGATAATTACGTTAAAAAAAGAAAAAAAATTATATATATATATATTATCATACTATACTTGCATTAATATAATAAAAGGAGAATTAACAAACCAATATATTTTATCATACTTGCATTTACATTTTGATGTAACGTAATATATAATAAAACGTATTTTTTTATATATCTCTCATATTTTTTTAGTGTACTTTTTTATACTCATTATTAAAGAGAGTATAATTTTTCAAATTCACGTCCTTTGATTTTATTATCAAATCTAAAGTCACGCACAACCGTATGTATACGTTCCCCGATCTGTTACAGCTGTTCGCTATGGCTATCGATCGCAGACTTCGTATTATATATATTGAGCATATATAGAAAGGAGACTTAGAAGAAATTATTTACACAAAAAAAGAAAAAGAATACTGTGCAGTTTTCTCGCGAACGTAATCGGCTCGTCGCGTAGAACGAAAATTTGCTCGATACAAATCGAGCCGGAATTACATTCGGTTTGGAAATAACTTTGCTGGTTTAACGGGATATCCGAAAACTACCGTATTGATGAAACTCATGCATAAAATCGAGTGTAATAGTTTTTTGCGCTCGCTTACGATTTGCCGGAATACGTATTCATCCTCGACAGTTTTTGGATAGATTCGTCAACTTCAACAAAAAGCCATAGCAAGAATTCAATCTCGACGTGAACCTCACGTTTATCTTTCACGAGAACGCGGTATTATTTTTCAGCCAACATAACGAGTTCCCCGAATATTCTACATCTTTAGTAAGGCTCGCGTATCTTGTCGTTCCGGATATAAGATATGCACACTCTTGGCGCTATCAACAGATCCTTCTCACACGTATATATGAACGATCAAGACACGATATTACATGATGTCACTAGAAACGCGTCCACTTTAACGATTACACCGATCTCGATTATCTCCTCGATTAAATCTCCACGATCAAGCTTCGCCGGTAATTATCTCCCGCTCTGATTAATTTCTTCGCCTCGTTCCGCGCAGCACGAGCCAGACCTCCCTTTCGCGGAGATCGATCAAAACTTCACAGGAAAGTGAAAGAAAAAAGGGAAGGAGAGATCGATCTCCGATCGCTATCTCGAACCGAAGAAACCGAGTGTCTTCAGCGTGTCGGTGACTCTGCCGATTAGTTTGTTCTTATAACGCCATATCGTCGTATCTATCACGCTATTCTCCCGGTATTCCACGCAGGTCTTCTTCAACGATCGCACGCAATCGGCACGATAGTGCTGCAGCTGCGCGTCCTCGGTCTCGATGGGGTAGCTGGTGCAACCGGCGCCCAGGCACGCAAGCGGGAAGTGATTATGCAAGGTGACCACCCTTTCCGGATTGTGGAAACACTTGATGTACTGGTTCGGCTTGGTGAAGTTCTTCGAGCGGTACACGTGCTGCAGCATATGCATATACCTACGAGGAGGATTCTCGTATCAGGGATACGCGGTTATCGCGGACTTCGATATTTCATGGAAAAGGCTAATAAAGATCAAAGAGAAAGAACGATCTGACTCCATATGAAATCCAATTATGAATTTGAAATAACGAAACTAATTTTCTCGTAGCGAAACTGACTGCAGTAATGTTTCAAGTTGAAAAGTTCTTTCGACACTTTTACTATTACGAGATTTCTTAGAAAATATTAGTAGAAAATATATAGCGAGATTAATCGTAGAGAAAGAGAAAAAGATTTCACTAAGAGTAGAGACTCTCTATATAAATTTAAAGTTGATTTTCTTGAAATAAAATTCTGACGGCCTCAATTTTTAACTACCAAAGTTAATTGTTTCAGCGACTTTAACATCAATACAAAAATTAAAGCATAATTTTCCTCCTAAAGATAAATATTCGACATTAACCGCAAAAATGAGTGAAAATATACAAAAAAAAAATAGTACGAAAATCAACGTATTATTTTGTTTGAAGATCTCTAGCTGAAACTTTAAACATATTTGTTAGATACGTACTTAAAAACTAATCCTTGCCGAATTATATTACAGTTTTGATAATATTGTTTCGTGTTTTTTTTAATCAAGCGGAAATTGAGATCTGTGTGAGATATTGATTCTTCTAAAACCGATACATATTCACACGTACACATATAAAAACTATGAAAATATAATAAAAATATAAAAGAGAATACTTTCACAATAAAGTATTGAATTATACAAATTTGTCGACTTTAAAATAAAATAATATTTTTTTCTGATTTACGTATAAAAATAGATATTTTTAAAAATATGTTTTTATCTTCTAAAACTGAAATATTCAAGGCATTTATAAAAAATAAATACAAGCAAACAATAATATTTATCAATTTTTGGAATCAATGTTTCTCAAAACAAAAAATATTAAATTGTATCGATATTAATATAAAACACAAGATTGAACATTTTAATCTAATTTTTTTTTAATCGCATTGTAATAAAATAATAAAGATATGAATAAAAACAAGACAGATTTCAGTAAATTATGTCAAATAATTAATAAATATACATATATTTTGAAGTACTTTGAAGAAGAGAAATAGAAATATGTCGATTCTCAAGAGATTTATGTGTGCGGTTAATGCCCTTTTCTTCTAATAATATAAAAATGTATTTCTATAAAAATTATTGCACGTTTTTTCTCGAGAAATAAACTCTTATTTGCTATTTATTGTAAACTTTCTCTATTCTTTCTTCGCGATCGCGCAAATTTTTATGTTAATCCGCCGAAAGAAAAGAACCGTGACACGGATAACCAACGTGCAGGCCATCCGCCTTCGCGTTCCCTTCACGGGCGGCGGAACCGCGCGTGAAAGTAGAAACCTTATACTTACTTGGGTATGTCCTTGAAGTAACCGTGAGAGTGCAGTAGGTCGTCTAGGAAGTAGACATTCCTCACGTTGTACGAGGCGCGGGTCTCGTTCCGTATCTGCAGGGCCTTGGGCAGCACCCGGCGCATCAGTTCCTGCCAGGTCGCGTCCTTCACGGGCATGATGACCTCGTCGACGTCCAGCAGCGCGATGTACTCGTACTCGTACATATGCTTGTAGAGACAATCGTTGTACGGTATCAACTCGTTCTGCCGCTTGTGATTGGTCTTTTTCGTGAGATACATGTGCTGGAAGGCCGGCACGTTCGGCTGACCACCCGGTAGGGTCAACGGGGTCACGTGTACCATACCGAGCCGCTGATAGTGCTGTAGCACCTTGGTCACGTTCGGGTGCACCTGTAGCTCGTAGAAGTAGATCTTGTCGGCGCCCAGCAGACTGATGAGCTCGATCCACTCGACTAACCGTACCGACAGATCTTCGTGCAAAAAGTCCAGGCCCTTCACGCACACGGCAAAGTCCTTCTTGCGCTCGGGTTTGTTGTAGATCACCCGGAGATGATTGGTGGCCGTGTCGCAACGCTTCTCGACCACGGAGACGGATGACGGCGGTCTGCCGGAGGCTTGCGGCGGCACCCTGCACGCTATCACATACGGTTGATAGATACCCTGCTTGTAATTGCCCCACTTGGGATACCAGATATACTTATATTCAAGGGTCTCAACGATCCTGGGTTCGCTCTCATTTTCGTACCACAGCTGGCAGTACGTCTTGACAGTCGGCTCGATACGGTCAATCATACCAACAATTCTCACTGCTGGCCCGATCTTAGACAATCGTCGATTATCATAGAACGCGCCGAAGAATTGGAACGTGCCGTTATTAGTTCGTAGCGTCTGCCAGTAGAAATTGTTGAACTCGAGATCGTAGATCTGCGGATATCGCGCGCAGCTATCGTTGGCCCGCTTCGTTAATTTACTGTTCCTGATCCAGTCGCTCAGCGGTAGGCTAGGTATCTTCTCGGCGATCTCCTCGATCAGCTGCTGCTCGGACTTGACAGGTCGTTTGTCCAGCAACGGTTCCAGCTCAAGCGGGTTTCTCGTCGATGTTTCCAGGCGGTTCCTCAGAGTCGTTAGGGTAGTCAGCAAGGCACCGTTGGAGAGATCACCGCCCAACGATGATCTCTGTAGAAGGTATCGGGACAAACCCAGTTTTGCCGAGGCAATTCCACTCGTGCCACGTTCGCCGCCAGTGCCATCGACCTCTGCCAGGTTGCCGCCGACGCTCTCCTCGGCCGTGGGACCGCCATCTTGGCGTAGCGCCCTGTTCTCCAGGTGGCGGAACTGCACTGCCGCGATCATCAACAGGCCCCAGGCGAACACGAAGACGAAGGCGCGCCTCGCACACCTTGAAGAGCTGCCGCCGCAGCTCTGTATCGTCGTCATACCGCTGATTCTCCCGGGAACTTACTTGCCTATATGACGTGGAATCGCTGAAACCCCGTCCCCCCCTCCCCCTCACTTAACCGTGTTCTCCTCGAGCTGAGTCTGCAACAATGAGGTTTCGTCGATTGGAGTATAAAAAATTGACTGGTATCGGCAGTTTTTATAGTTGATATCTCATAAAGAGATATAATCTATTTGAACTGGTGAAATATATATTTCACTTTTATCGTGTAGATATCGATAAGATTTAATGCGAGTTATTTCAATGCCGCTTGAGACTTCAATGCAAGCTTGTATTCACGTGCTGTAATATTTCACCATAAAAAGAATTGCAAATAATTCAAAAATTATATTATTTTAGATCTAATAGATTTTTTAGATGTATATATAGACCAATTAATCTTAACTAAAAGTTCCATGTGAAATACGTATTTACTCTTATTGAATCATCGTCACGATTTTTCGGCTACAATGTCAGAGGATCATTATTTTCGAAGAGATGTAGTAGAGCGGATGAGATTTGTTCACAAATTTATCTAGGGACGAAATAATTCGCGATAGAATCGCCGACGGAATTTGGGGCAGGAGACGAGATAACGTCCTTAACTGTATAAGGACACCCGTCACCGGTAGCCAGTACCCGACTATCATCAGAAAAGCGAGAGACCCTGTCGGGCGAAACTCCGTTGGGGCCGGATCGAGCATCGAGAGAAAGAGAGAAAGAGAGAGAGAGAGAGAGAGAGAGAGAGAGAGAGAGAAAGCGATACCAGTTCGGAGATACGTGGAACCGGTTATGCTGATGGCAAACTGTTTTTCATCTTTTGCACCTCGCTCCATCTAACCTCCTCCCTTCCTGATCACCTCGGGAGGCCTCCTGCCCTTCTCTTCCCTCCCTTCTCTCAACCTAAGCGATGATGGCGACTTTCAGGATCAGGCTCGACCGCGACCTAGGATTTTCTATAAAGATTTTGCCAGGGACGTTTTACCATTCGTCGGATTTGTAATGCTTCGTGAGAGAATTTCATTTTTAATAGAATGAAAGTTATTTCCCTTTATGGTGTGTCTATATGTTAATTTAAATTCCATCAATAAACAGTATAGAAATGTATTGAAAAAACACACATAAAACTAATTTTCTTTCAGTGTACACGAGAAAATTCCTTTTTTTTAAATACAATATAAAATAGGTACATAATATTATTGTGCTTTCTTTTATAATGTTAAGATAATCTCCACGATTACAAAAATTATATTGTAATTTTTAATACAATATTTTCTCCGAACAGAGAAAAGCAAAGATAAGACCATAAGAGATAAATAAACTAGAGAGATTAAGTTAAATATATATTAAAGATAACTTTTTCTTAAATAAAGATCTTTTTCATAATTTTTCTTTCTCTCCCTCTTTAAATTAAATTATTTACTTATTTCGAAATATAAAGAGTTTCGTAGTTTTTATATATCGATATTATTTAAATATACTCAGTGATGATAATACATATTTAGACGCGCACTGACACTTGGTTATTAAAGACTATTAATTATTAAAAAGAGAGAGTTTATATCTAACAAAGATCTTACGACATATATCTAATTAAAACATACGAGAACATCATTATTAATCCTTTCCAATTTTCGTAACTCGAGAATATGTACATATATATATATATATATATATATATATTTTTATGTGATATATATATATATATATTGTTAGGCGAAGGGATGGGAGAAGATATGTTCTTCAAGATAATGTAACTTCGCGATGAAACGTTCTATTCATTCGCACAATATCTTGATGCTGATCGTAAGCGTAATTATACCGGGCGATTAAATCCCGAAAATGTCTAAGCTCCAGATTTGTGCTACTTTCTTGCGCGATTCTCACACAATCTGGCCCCGGTACTAAGTTAAGCGATCGAGAGGATCGCTAATTAGCGTGGATTTGTTTAATCTACATGCACCGAGTAATCCGATAAACTATAGTCATGTAATTGCGTCGCAAAAGTGCGGCGTGCAATGCCGCCTCCGTTTAATTCAGACCCCGTTCTTATCGTTACCTTAATTAGCAATCTCGGCGCAACGATGGGTCGACCGAAACGCAAATTGCGCGGAAAGAACGCGCTCGTATCTCTCGCAATATAACCCTTTCATTTACCTGCGAGTCTATGTTTACTAAAAAAAAAAATTTTTTTAAATCTCTTTCTTTCGCGAGATTTTTTTCTTACGAAGACGTTTGAATTTCTTCAGGAATTTTTGGATGGAACAAAAATTTTTAAGATAAGACTTTATTATCCTAATATTCCTTGTTGCATTTATTATTCGCGCATTTAATATGAATTAACAAACATTAAAATTGCATGTTTTTAAATTATGAGTCCAGAAAAATGTTTATAGCTCGAAATAATGAGTTGATGTTAGATCGATTAAGATTAGCGCGCCCGAAAATGGCCTGGAACAAACTTAAGCGGGAATTAGACACGCACTTTGAACGGACATTTATGTAGGATCAACGTTGGGATTCACAAGCTGATATTACGAGCGAGACAACCGGCGTTAACGAAATTGAGAGAAAGGAGGTTAATAACGAGCCGAAAATGTGATTATGCAGGGTTCGACTCGCTTCTTCCTGGTACTTCTATTTTACGAAAAGAACAAACAAATGTCGCTTCATAACCAATTTTGATCAGTAGAAACTTTTTGACAGGATAACCACGTCTTATCCCAATAATATCTCCTTACCATTAGCAAGAATCTATATCTTTTTGAAAAGAAAAATAAGATAAAAAATAACATTTTTCGAGATAAGCTCAAGGATATTAGTCGGATATTAATCGCAATAATCAACTTTGGTATTGAATATCAAAACTTGTTCAATCAAATGATCTACAGTTTCATTGACATTTAGGTTAATTTAATTATTTTATGAGATTAAAATAAGAGATATGCATATAGTGTTTTAATGACCACGAGAGCCATTATTTTTATTGCTTAAACAGTCGAGTAACAGTTAATTTTGGAAAAATACAAAATATTGGAGCTTAGAGATTTATATTCTTACCACGCGTTCTCCGTGCTAGACGTGAGATCTTGTTACCGAGATGTCACACATGAAAGTGTCGAATGTAAACAAATCAGAGGCTCTGATTTGTTTATCAGAGCCGCGCGCCGCGTAGTGTCTCGTGTCTCGCCAGATATATGTATATAACAAAACAATAACATTGCGAGAGAGACGCATTCCTTTAGTGTTTACTAGAAAATAGATCGGAAAGATAAATTCTCTCTTTTTCTCTTTTCCATTTTCAATTAATTATATATACATTTTTAAATAAAACTATTTTTTTTATGAAAAAAATTGGTAACATCAAAGAAATACATACATACATAGATATTATAATTATAATTATTATAATTCTTATGGCTATAAGTCTCTAAAATTTGAGTATTTTTCCAAATTTCATTAAATAAATAATTTCATTAAATAAAAAAATTTATTTTAATCATTTTATAAGAATAAAAATATAATCTAAGTATTGAAAATTAAAAAAAAAAAGAATAGTTATATTCATTTCTTTCTAAGTAATATTCGTCACATTACACAGTATAAAATATATAAATATATATTTGTATTAATAGAAATANTAAAAAAATGACAAATGTTCTCTGATTCAAGGAATTCAAACGTCGAGCCACAATGACGCAACATACTTACGCTAAACGCTAAGTGCAAAAAATAAATGTCTACATTCTTTTCTATCTAATCAGCCACATCACAAACGCGTGATAACGCGTGCTATATCCGCGAACTCAAGATCGCCAATATAAGATCCTATTGAAAAATTAATTTGTTCGTATCTAATTGTGCGCATCAATATAATCGCGACGCGTCGCCGAATACATAAATATGCATCTTTGTTGCGATCGTAATTGCATTCCAAGGCTCTCGATTAAAAGACACATTCCCGCCAATCTCTTGCCTTTCTCGCAAAAAAAAAAAAAAAAATAACAGCTGCGTTTATCCCGCGCGTGTAAGCACCTTTGCACAATAAAATCTCTCCCGCGTCGATATATCTCTATCCGCTTACGTTAATCGACGATAAATTATTCGACAATGTTGCGAGATACGGCAGCTGAGTCACAGCCGATGATGATATTGCCAGCTGGATTCTGCGGCAGAGAGAGAAAAATTGATCCTCGATTTTCGAATCATTCAGATTTTAATCACTCTGGAAATTCTCGCGAAATCTTTGCGATATTCCGGATATAAAGAGAAGATATCAAGACCGATATAAATTATTTGGCACTTCTCTTTATCGGAGCAAATATGAGCTCGATTCGCTTGATTAAATCGCACATGACAAATTAAAAAAAATTTAAACAATATTATTAAAACTACAATACAATCTGAGATGAAACAAGTCTCCTATAAATATCTGTAGACGTAAATTTTCATTTCGGTCACAGAAAATGGAATGGCACCTTTCGGTTTCGACACCTTTTCTCCATCGTTTGTTCGTATCACATATAATAATATCACGATAGATACTAATCTCGGTATTAAAAGTTTATCCGAACGCGAGTTGCATCTGCATTCCGCGTCTTACGTAACGCCGCTGCGCCTCCGCAATTTCTTCTTTCATCGCTAGCCATGCCATAGAGAAAGACGTTATTCAACAAAGAGGAGCGTTAAAGGAGCTTATCCAGCGCGGGCGAGAGAGATCTCGTCGGTATATTATTTAAATTGACAATAACTGCTGCTGATGATGATGTGGAGCTTTAGAATTTCACGACGTATCGAGGCGACTCGATATAATAGCCCCTACGACATACTTTCGACGAGTTCGTACACGATGTGATCACTTAGGCGTATGAAAGTGATCTCAAGCATTATAAACGTTGACTATTACTTGGCGCGATAATAATAAAAAATTCCTTGCAAACCAAAATTGTAATTTACATGTCTTTATCGGCAACGAAAATAGAAATTTTCGAAAGAGACAATTTTTTTATAAATATATATAATTTATATCTATGTTCTACAAAAAAAAAAATACGATCAAAAGATTCTCTTCCGTTTCGTAACATCACAATAATCTCACTCGCGAATAGCGTTTGCATTTTTTGATGTCGCGTTACTTTACGCCTCGTCCATTCTTTTGTACCTACTCTGTATATAGCCTCAGGGAGTTGAACTCTCATCGAAATTAGACCGGTTCCAATGCTTGCGCTAGAGAAAGACAGAAGGAATAATGACGCAGTCCAGCGAAGATCCAACGATTTTGTGGAAAGTCGAGTAGAGAGAGCGAATATGATGCTGCTACCGTTGTTACAACCGCTTCGTATACGCTCGCCTGCTCCAATTGCGATTTCTCGCTTACGCGTGCTAATTAACCCTAATTGTACGACGAGAACGAGGGGGAGAGGGAGGAGAGATAAAAGAGAAGGAGGAGTATAGAGTTCGGAGTGACGCGGGCGATTTCACCAGCCTCGTCTCCGTCGCGCCGATCCTTGGCGATTCGAGGGCGAGATATAGCAACTTTGTCTGTGGTATGCGATGAGATTGCATATATATACCGCGACCTGCAATTCACGCGTGTGCGTGCGTATCGCGCGTAGCGTGAACTCTCGATTCGACGCGGCGCGCGAGCGCGAGCTGCCTTGGGTGTTGTCGGCTCGGCTTCTCGGCTTGTGTTTTACATATGCGACACATTATGGCGTATAATGTTGGCTTGGTGTATCAGATGCGAGACAGATAACTAAACGCGACGATTAATTCTCGAACGACTCATCGTAAACGTAATTATCATGAGCGTCATCGCACGGCGTAAACATTGGCTCGGCGTTGGTATGACCGATAATGATTCCTTCGGAGCTGCCGTAACGATAGAATCGAATGATTAATAGCATTCGAAGATAATAAAGGAGAATAATTCGCGCAAGTACAAACGGGATTTTTTCTCGAAAATTATTATGTAAATAAAACTGAACGTTTATTCCGTGTAAATATGCACATTTACATACTGCAATTTGCGACTTATACGTCCCAAAAAAATCTTCAATATTACATATTTATATCTTTCAAGGAAATAATACTTAGACGTCTTCTGAGAGCACATAGTAAAATAATGAACAATTCATGTATTTTTTAAAGATGTTAATGCTCGCAATATTATTATATGAGGAAAGAATCAAATATTAACGTTGATAGCACATTTAAGAAAATTACCCTAGGGAAGTAATAATCATTCCTCATAAGCTTTCTTTTATGCTCAACACGATTCCAATCACACAAATATTTTATCAAGACAATATTTTGAGAAAATTATAGTTAAAATTGTGAAAAGAATTTATTTTAAAAATGTACTATCCTACACTGTAGCATTGTAGAAAGATTATATTTTCCGTTCAAAATTATATATTGTTAAAAGTTTTAATTCTCAAAACAAATTTTTTATAAAAAAGTTGATAAAATTTTTATGATGAAAAATGGGAATTAGCAAGGTTATAATTAATTATTTATTGAGTAGCCTTGTAATTATTTGCTGTATTGGATATTCTATCGTCAATTTTAACATCGAGTTCGTATTCGATAATCCTGTACATGTATAAATTTTTACATAAACCCAAATAGCTGTTTTTTTTTTTTAAATCGGTAATCACTTTACAAAAAAAATTTATTATGATTCGAGAAAATATCCTCTTGGATTAAGTCAGTTTAAGATTTCAATCTCTGAACTCGAGTAAATTAAATAACGGAACAATGGCAGAATATGTATGCCACATCAAATTAGCTTTATACATCTTTCAAGAAATCTCCTTGTATTTCTCATTTTATTCCGGAACTTATCGGTATCAAATATTCTATTGCTATTTCAAGATTATTATGTCGTACTTAATAAAAAATTTCGTCTATAATATTACATTCGCGATTCGCGATTTAAGCTATTATTCTCGTCTAAGTTCTCTCTTTAAATCTTTGCGATTTATTTAATTCACATGGAATAATCATTTATGTATCGTATTTACATAATCATCTCAAAATCATCTAGACAGCGAAGGTGGTCTTTTTTTTCTCTCTCGAGAAGACATTCCTCCCACGGTTAACAGCGTCGCGCGGAAATTGAAGCAGTAATACCGTAAAAGCTCGAGCCGGGGTTAATTCTCATGCAAATTTATGTATCACTTATGGCTCGTACAGTTACAGCGCTCGGGAAGTTTACGCGCGAGCGATACGTAAAGTTGTTGGATCGGTGGACCGAACGAGTTTCACAGAATCCGTTGCAGTAGTAGCCGACAGTCTACAGTATAGGGATGAGATCACATTCGCGAATCTCAATCGCGAGTCAGCGTTCGATTTTTTTTCGAATTTTATCGCAATCATGATAATTCGAAGAACTTATACTCTGGCTAATTATGTTTTCCTTCACTTCTCGATTTACGACAAAGACTCGGAATATCCAGCCTCGGGTTGCGATAAATTCTAGCGAGTTTTATGCGGTGGAAGTTTCTTTCCAAACAAATAATTTTTTTTTTTTTAATTTTAGAAAACTAGATTATATAATAAATGTCCTTCTTAAAAGATTAGAAAAGGACGTAACTATGTTTTAGCATATTAATTAAAAAGGCAAATCATTATTTTATTTAATTGCTACGCTATATATTCTTTATCGTATGCCTTTACTTCTCAACATTTCGTATAATATTTTTTTTTTAATTTATAAATTATCATTTTTATCTCGAATCGCACGTTTTCATTTTTATTTTTCTTTTTCTCTTTTTTTTTCGACTGCGACGTGTTCGCGCATAAGTGTGCAGTTTAGCGAGTCTACTTTTCGCATTATACCGCGGCAATTAGGCCGGGGTTACACATAAATGCTTAACGGCACCGCAATGATTGTCGAAACGGGGCCGTTGTTCCCTCCACCGCAGAAAGCGAATGGCAGCTTTAAATTGCCGGCCGCACGCACGTCATCATCTCGTCGACGGATAACTGCACACACGATCCTTCTCTCGTGCCGTTGCAATCTCTGATTCGACGCATGGGTGCCACTTGAGCTTTTATCCGAATGATCGTCCGCGACGAAAGGCCTCGGATGACAGGAGGATCGAAGCGATCGCTTTTTTCCTACCATCTGACAATGCCACGTGCGTGTTTGATTTTAAAGTGTCTATCGATGCAGCCGTGTCCTTTACCGGTAAGAACGCTACTTTTACACGCACTCATGCAAATACTTTTATTAAATATATATAAATTTAAATATATATATCATTATTTTTTCTTGACCTCTAATCCCCAACTGTAAAAAGATTAAAAAAGAATTGGCATCCATAAATATTTTATAGAGACTGCGCTCTTACATTAGATTATATCACAGTTTTAATAATATTGTTTCAAACTTTTTTTAAGCTAATGATCTTTTTAAGATGCAGACGAAATGGGTCACGAAAAAACGACATTTCTATTAAAAACTAAAAAAAAACATAATAAAGACAGAGAATAGTGTATTGTGACAAATTTCATTAAATTACAGAAATTTATTAAGTTGAAAACGAGAGAAAAATTACGCGCGCCAAGCACATGCCGAAGAGAACCAATTAACACATATAATCAAGCGCGTAGCGGAATTAAAATCATAATTCTAATTAAATTTATGAATAGTACATCAATTTGAATCTTTTTTACAATGTTCCCTCAACATTATAAAAATGATTCTCCGTGTTAAATTTCTCTTAAAACTATAGATCATGCGATAAAATATTACCTAACAATTTATAGGCATACTATAAACTAGCGTCAATTACAAGAGAACTGATGATATACAATCAAGAATACTTGGCTAATTTGTCGTTAATTTCATACTTATTTTCGAGCAGTTAAACTTTTTCAACGTTTTTTGTAAAAGTCAATTTATATCGCGTTTCAAAGGCTGTCGTGCTGTTCGATGATGTCCGTGAAGACGCAACGTGCAACATTAATGACGTGCCTGCTGTGCTACGACCGACTTTATCAGGGATGCCAGGTTGCGATACCTGGATCGTACAACCGTTATCGAGAAGAGGACGAGTGGGGGGGGGGGTCCAGCTGGATCGCGTATATTGGTTCTTTACACGTCGTACACATCGTTCTCTCAGAAGAGACACAATCGAAAATATACAAACAAATATATATATATGTATAATCCGTGTCGCGACTTGTTGATCATTCATCAATCCCTTGTATATACATGGTTGGGAAGATGCGATGATAACAGCCTAATAATCTCGGCAGGCGTTTTCAAATAAATTTCAGCGGATCTAGTTAGCAGATATTTCTTTCGTTGTATACACGTGGCGTGTATCGCAACTTTCTATGTCAATATAAAACGTGTGACATTTTTTTGATATCCGTGACATCCACGCGCCGTTGACAATGAATGATTACAACACAAAGTTATCGCGATAGCGTTACATCGGCGCTCTTACATCAGGCGCTATATTATAATTCTCTCGAAAGAGATAATATCTCTGTATAACTTGCGCCATAATATTATAAGGGACGAGTTATATCGCTGTTATGTGTTATTAATCTATAACCTGTTTCCTTTGTCCGCGTCTGGCATGAATTATACACGTAAGAACAGCAATCTGGCGCGCGAGGATCGCGCTTATCCTTCGAACTGTTGAATTAATTACTCGACTTCCATGTCTTATTAGAAGTAGCGAAACAAATTACGACACGATTATATAGATATGACGCGATCCAATCAACAGAGTGCTCGGCAAATCTAAAGTGACATGGAAATTTAAAAAATTATGTTGTGACTATAATTCAACAAAAATAGTCTAAATTTCATATTTAATAGAACCTTGTTTTCGATTTTGATTTTAATCAAGATAAAGTTGATCCACTTATATATCAAAATTAATAGAGTGAAAAGTTATATATTTCATGTAATATATATTTTTTAATATACATAAACTTTGATTAATATATAATTTCTTCTATATTTTCTGTCGTTCAAGATTGATCGATATCTATTATACGATAATAAGAATTAAAAAATTGCAGTAAATGATAGCCTGTTTGTCGAGTTTTCATTCAAAAAAAAAAAACGTCGAGGCCACGTTATGTAGAATCTTATTATCGATTACACGCATCACGCGTGTCGTATAAAAACGCCAATTTATTTCGTATACAATATCTACATTTCTATATCGCGTGTCCCATTTATTATTATCGATAACGGAAATTGAATCCCTCACTCGCGATTCATGTCAAATGAAATCGGACGAATTGGGTCGTTAAAGCGTACAATCGCGCGAGCGAGCGACCGCGCATACATTTAACTCTTTCCTCGGGCTTTCACGCACTTTCATAATTTGTAGTGTGTGATTCACAAAATCTTATGCACATCATTTGCAAAGATTCTCAGTTTTACTGCGAAGGAAATATAAAAAGGAAACGCGAAGGTCGATCGATGCCCCTCGCGCAATTTCTTTTCGAATAGTAAGACAGTGGGACTTACTGACGCCAAAACATAGAATTTATCTTATATTTCTGTATTCTATTTATACTATCGATCACTTAGGCACGCGTGTTATCGCAGAAATATGCGCGAAATATGCACGCATGATATGCAGAATCCGCCAAGGATAGATCGAGGTCACTTGAGATCGGCTTTAACGGTAATTCCTTCGGTAGTCGGTTGGAAACCGTCGGAGAATGATCGATATTTAATTGCATCACGGGAATTTCGTCAATTTCATGGCTACCGGTCATACCGGGCCGATAAATTCTTGGAGCGGATAAGAGTCGTGCGCTTTTGTAATTCCCGTTTTGCCGCCGTCAGACTGCTTTTAAATACGTTGTTTTTAGTTAATACTTGGTGGAAAGTTTCGTGCGCTTATAATCAATGGCAATAAGCCAAACTCTATTTATATAAGCTAAATGACATAATATAAGTGCTTACATATATTGTATATATGTATATCTTTTCTGTTGCACTGTTGCATAAAATTATTAGAAAATATCTCCGCAATTTATCGCGCTCTTTACTTTCTAAATACTAATCAATCTGGTTTATCATAATTTATTAAAACCACTTCATTTTTTAGATATACTTTAAATTTCTCTCTCTCTCTCTCTCTCTCTCTCTCTCTTTCTCTCTTTCTCCGAGGCCATCTTAATTAATTTTCTCGAGTGCTAGTCGAAAAAAAGATTGGAGGAAACGCGTTCCTCAAAAGTAATCGTAATGAGATCGCGAATCGAAAAACTTTTAACAAGTACATAAAAATGTAATATTCCCATCGGGCTAAAGTTTCAAGCGACCGACGCTGCCGTTACATCGAGAGCACTTTGTATGGCCGCAAAAAACTGCGATGGTTACTCGATTCCAACGGTATACCACTTCGATATCGAATCGATCCGGATTCACGGCGCGAGTCCCCAGCTTCCTCCCCGAGGCTGCGTTCCTACTTACGAGAAAAATACGGAGAGATACGCGGCTGTGATCGTCAGAGCAGCCTGATGGTTCGCCAACCGTTGAAATCCGTCCGGACGGCGTCCCGATGCCCGGATCGCATCCCGACGACCATCCGAAATCAGAGGAATCCGCGTCAACGCGCCGGCATTC